ATTTATGTGGAAGACGGGGAGGACAAGAGGTGTAGGAGCAGATAGAGGCACAGGGGACAGCCGGGGCAAGTGAAGACGGGCGAAAAATCGGTAGATTTGGTGAAGCCACTACAACGAAGAGGACAGCAGCCATTGCAGGAGTCGCAACGCACAGACCAGTCGCGGCGGTCCAGTCGGACTTGAGGGAACGAGCAGTACCGAAGAGGTCCAAGGTTGGCCTCAATTCCGGCGGCTAGGAGAAGGATGAGTCGGAGCAGCGTGGCCGGAAGCGGCTGCTCTGTCATCAAAAAGACAGTTTAAGAGGAGGGAAGGGTTGATCCAACGTAGGGCGATTGGTGTAACAGACTTTGGCCGCCGTGAGGCGTGCGAGAACGCGACCAAGACGCGTCTGCTATGGTTCCGGTCAATTTGTGTAAATCTGTTTGGTTAAATTACGGTATCATCCTTAGATTTGTATCAAAATCCTCTTCTGTGGACTGCATTTCCTTCTAAAGGAATGTGAAACCTCAACACAGAAGCGAATAGACGATGGTATTAATCAAATAAATTACTCGTTAACCCATAATAATACTGACATCTAGTATTTTCAGACCTTTTTTGAGTGATTCCAGGCGGTAAAGTAGAAATGTCCAGGAAGACGAGGAGCCGTTAGCTGGGAGTTTTTAAAGGGCCGCCACACTTTTTTTCACTTGTCCGTGAGGATCAGCATCATAAATCACATTTATGCAGACAAACCTCTTTGAGTATCAGCCTGTCAGGTTGATGACTTATGTGATCAAAATAATCTGGTTCTCGAGCTTTCCCTACGTAAGTACATCCTTAAAAACATATCAAACGCACCAGTGAAGCGAGTTAAATATAACAGTCAGACTAAGTAAACCATTTTCGCTTCTTAATCTAAGAACTTAGAACTTTATGATTGACCCATTTGAAGATTGCATATATAGCAGAATTTAATGGAACCATAAATTTCGCGAGCTTGTGACCTTGATGTTTTTTGTATCGATTTTTCTCTATGAATTCAATTCTGTTTATGCAGCGAGTGGATGAAGCTGATGAGCGCTCGCGAAATGTATGGTTCATTAAATTCTGCTATATACGCAGTCTTAACATTTTTATCTGGAAACAGATGCTTCAAATTACCGATTGAAAATACTGGTTGCAAATTTACACGATGTGCCTTGGCGTGAGCAACTTTGGATATAACTCTCGGTTGGATTGTCTTACTTCCTTTTGCGATATTTGTAAATGCAACGCTTTTACAATGAACCTACTTCGTACAAATTGCATATAGGTCAGCAAAACTCAGACCGAATGCACTAATATCTTCGTAAAAAGTAGCTGTATTTGTTTAACTGACTGCTACTTGAAACCCTACACTAATAAATAATTGCGGGTTTGGTAGTAAGAAAGTAAAACCTTGCCTTTTGTGTGCAGTTTCCGCTTGTCAGGGCAACGTAACCAACCTCCGGTTTGTATGGCCTTTTTTAAGATTTTGTAAAATAAGACTTCCAGTTTCCACTCTGTTTCTTCGGTGAACTAATTATTTCCCAAAAGTATGTCGGCGTTACCTTGTGCTCTGACTATGTGCGCGGCCAGCCAGAGGCTTCAGGCACTTCTATAGTCAGCCACTTACAAGAAGATGACGCTATTTCGAAAACAATAGGCTCTCCTGTGAAGCTTCGAGAAGTTATTAGAAATAGTTAAATCACAATAAGAAGTGGAAAAGCTCCACTGAATAAAATCTGCCAATGATAAATTGCATAAAAGGAAATGGAAATATCTTCACGTGAAATTCACCTGACCATGCTTTGAGTACTTAATTAAAACGCCTCAGACATTATAAGAAAGTAAGAATTCACAACTAAAATATACTGAATCAATACACTAGCGAAATTAATTTTTGAAGGAATTACTAACCTCTGAGGCCGATTGGGAGAGATACATTTTCAACTTGAATCGTCTTGTTTAATTACAACCAGTTTCCTTTTTAGCAGCCTTTAACAGACATTTTTCATTCTCCTCTCATCCAGACCGTCAGGGGCCTCTTACAAGCACACGACCAGCCGGCGGCCCAACAAGTACTGCGCAATGGTGAAGACTTCCATTCAGACCTTTTTGCGCCTGAAGCCCGTGACGAACGCCTCGAGCATCGTAAGCCTCCTCTCTCCCTGCTTTTACCACTAATGACTGTAGACAGCCAAGATATCTCGAAAACCAGATGTCTGCAAATTTTACATAGTTGACAAAAAGCCCTCCGCCGAGTCCAAGCGCGTGGATCGTTTCACCTTTGCTGATATCTTCGAACCGTCCGCACCACAGGAGGATGTTTTTCGTGAAGTGGCCAAGCCGGTGATTGAAAAGTGAGAGTTTCCTTCTGCATATGTCCTTTTTTTCTTGTTTATTGAAAAGTTGGCGGCAGCAGTTTTCGCCAGAAACGGTCTCGCGGCTGGCAAAGTCATTTGTAGCACCGAGTGTTGCGTCTGCATGCCTGCCGGGATTTTGTGTGCGATTTCCGATTTTTGTAGAGAGTTCACTAATCCTGGCGAGAAAGATGGAAAACAGGTAGAAATGCAGGCTACTGAAAATGTGAAAGTAGTGTTTTATTATACGTTACAAACTGGTTTGGGTGGACTGTCTTTTTCTTATGGGGTGTCGTTGCTTCTGTTCTGTTACATCATCTTGACAGGGGGGGGGAAGGCATGACGTTTTCATTACAGCTTAGGTTGGTTATAGCTTACTAGTTTTTCTTTAAAGTTGTCTCCACCTTTATTGTTCCCTTTAACCACGGTCTCGTAAGATACTTGGGACTGTGGGACTTCATTAAGGCGGCTTCACAAGAAAACTTTACTATATTTGCTTTTGAAGACAAGCTTAAGTGTTCCCATCCTGCATGCATACAAAGCTCAAGGACCATCACGTGAACTCCATAACTCTCTAATAATCGAAGAAAGGTCGGATTTAACGCTCGTGCAAATGACCTTAAGCTGTGGATGGTTATGAAAAATATAAAAAAA